ACATGAAGGCGTAACATTCAGTTTCAGAGGTAAAATGTATAAAAAAAATGGAGACCTTTTGATTCAGAAACGAAGCAGCGAGATAGAATAAATGCACTCAAAAACTGTATAAAATGACCATGATTTTGTTCTGAAACTGTTTAATTTTGAATGGAAATGTGTTGTCTTAGTTGGTATTATTCTTATTGTTTATTGTTTTTATTTAGTATTAATATTTTATTTTGTACGTCATCTATTTATTGTACCATAGTTATTGACTTCTAGTTTTGTGCCTGGCTGTAATTGGCTTTGTTTGGCTGTTGTCATGCACAATAATAAATTAATTGAATTGAAATAATAAAAATAACATTTTACTATACTTATTGTTATAACATTTTTTCAATCAAAGGGTTAACGTCAGTCTTAACGAAACAGGGTTGGAGGGTGTGGATTGGATTCTTCTGGTTCAAGATAGGTACCAATGGTGGACTCTTGTGAACAGTGTAAGGAACATCGGATTCCTTAGTGTGCGAGACACTTATTCACAAACTGAACGTACTCTAATCTTCTCTAGAAGAATTGTACTCCATGGAGTTGGTCGTGTTTTTGTGACACTCTGTAGGCTTTTCGGATATGAAGATGGAGTCCGCACGTCCGTCTAGAATTTCAGTAACAACCTACAAGACTACGCAATATCACTTTTTTATTTGTCAGTAACTCTAACGATATTGCATACGATGGGTTCTGTCCAGCCATTAGCCACGAAAATGCTGAAGAAATCCACGGAAAAATATCGGTCAGGATAGCCGGTTTTAAGGCCGAGATTTAGAGGCCGGTCTTTCGAAAACAGGGATACCAACTGATCGGCTAAGACTTTCGAAATGCTGCGGTGTTAACACAAAGTAACATTATTTATATGTCATTATTATTGCTACTTTGTCATTATCACTAGTTGTCAGGTGTTTAAATAATCCATTGCCTGAGATTTGTAAGAACTTCGTTTTCGTGTCGGATTCAATTTTTTAACAATCCTCTAACTCATTTGAAACGTAGAGTCACTGAACATTTTTGAATAAATGGTAATAAATTGTCAGTTTCAGGAATCTTTGTCTCTTCTTCGAAGTGTCTCAGTACGATACTTGTTTAAGAAATGGTGGAATGGTTGCGTCTGCTTTAATTCCTGTGGATGCTGAACAGACTGATTCAGCTTCCAGATGTGTCTTGACATAAATTTATTGCACAGTGTTAACCGTGATCATACTCATGATGTGCTTTCTGCAAGAAGCGATCGATTCTAATATAGTTAATGGTGCAATAGTAAAGTTGCAGTGTCTCAGCACCACGCGTGTGCGGAATTGAAGCAAATTTCCGGAAACTTCTAACTTCGGAACTAGATGAAAGCCACTTTATTCTCGGAAATAAAGCCCCGTCAATGATTTCTGAACGTTTAGGACGGTGTGGTGTATGAATAAATCCCCCTGCCAAGAATTGAACCACGCTCTTATACGTAAAGCCAATTTATTGCCTGATATATGTGGTTTATATTAGCATCATCATCATAGTGCGTTAACGGATTAAGATGAATGCAACTGTCACTTTCAGGCTCCCGGCAGAAATTGCATAACTCACCGAGAAGCGATACGAGGTTTTTGCTGATACGTGTAAAGCATCGCTTCATAAAAATAATTAAATCAACTTTCCCATGTTATATAAATTCCTTTCAGGAGCCGGGAAATGATATTTGCGTTCAAATTTATCAGAAGATACTGAATTCTGTTTGATAATGACCTCCTATAAGGATATATATATATATACGCGTTTGGGATTAAAAACAACTAAATGTTCTATATGGTGGTCTCAGACAATATTCAAACCACGCTGTGAATTCACAAATTTTGTCATTCAAATAGACCTTAAAGATGTGAGTACTTTGGAAAGGAGGTGAAATAAATGTTATTACGGAAGTTGGTAGGGGTTATTGGTCTGGTTAATTTGCCGATTTGAAAGCAGGGGACCTGCGTCGCTTTAGAGATCTGCTATTACACGGATCGTTACTTTGGGACCTGTTATAGCATGCCACCCC